AAGAGGAATATTTTTACATTGACACATTCTTCCACAAAGTTTTATGTCAACCTTATGTAGACCTTTAGGTGTCTTTTTAGTTCAGAATTATTTGTCTTTCCCATAAAAGGGAGTTAGTTTTGTATTACAAGACACATCATAGGTTTAAAGTGGAATATACGAGATTGATGTTTTATGTTTTCTTTGGAAAACAAAGCCGTTTTGATTCTTTTCAAACTTTGCAGCTTTAACTAAAAGATGCAAATAGGAAGAATTCTGTTTTAAGACTGACACACTTAGAATCAGTTTAATCAGACTTATTGTAAGCTATGGCAGCTTTGAACTCAAAGAGACTAAGTTTAAACAAAAAAAAATTGGTCATTGAATTATTAGATAAAGAGGATTTTGAAATCAGTTTATAGCATTTATTCAATTATTTTAGTGTACAGTATTGTACATCACTTAAGCTGTGTCAAACATCTTGGTGAATCAATGTATCCATTTTGATTTAAAGGGGGTAAAAGTTTTTGAAAATCTGATTGTTCCTTATTTTCCTTATTTTCCGAGTACTTCGCTCTCAATCTGCAGGTTTACTAGTGGTTCCTAGAATTTCTACAAGTAGAATGGGAGGCAGATCTTTTAGTTATCAGGCTCCTCTCATGTGGAACCAACTAGCAGTTTTAGTCCCTGAGGCAGACACCCTGTCTACTTTTAAGGGTAGGCTTAAAACTTTCCTTTTTGATAAACCTTATACTTTGAGCGGCTCAGGTTATCCAGTACTATCTCTATAGTTATGCTGCTATAGGCTTAGAATGCTGGAAGATATAGGGACCCCTTTTCATCATTCTGCTTCATTATATCTCTATTCTCCCACTGTGCAGAATCTATTAATTCAATCTGTAACGTTCTGCTCTCTCTGCTTTTTCTTATAGTAGCTTCACCTCATCTGTTCGTGTTTGGCTGTGACACCATTGTGGAGAGAAATATCAGCTGTGCTGCTGCCATCAACACCTTTTTGTATATAAATGCTTGAGATCGGCCTGTTTTTCATTCTAGTCCTGTTTCTCTGACTGTGACTGGCTTGATACGCTCTCTTTTATCCTCTGACATGGCAGCTGGCTCAGAGCTCGTCTGCCTGACTGTCTGCTTCCTGGACGTTGCCACCTTTTGTATCTCTGCTTCTGTCCCCTTGAACCCCAATCGGCCTCGGAAGATGGCTAATCACACTGAGCCTGGTCCACTGTCACTGCAGGCACACTTAGTGTGAGGGACTGCCTTTGAGTCAATAAGTTGATACAATCAACTGGTTTTCATTACATAAAAAACTTTGAATCAATTTGACTGGATGATCTGGCTGAATTGCAAAGTGCCTTGAGCTGACATGTGTTGTCAATTGGAACTATATAAATAAACTATATAAATGGAATTTATGATGGGGTTATTTTTCGATGTGACAATATTGCCAGTGGTGTTAATGTTTTTGATAAGTATATTTTAGTCACAGAAAATAAGAGGAAAGAAAATACATCTTCAAAGTCTTAAGCTTAAAAAAAAATGCGATAGAGTCAGTAATTGCAGAACTCAATGTAATTTCCGGTAACATTGCAAGGAAAAAAAATTTAATTGCTTCTCTTGTCAAAATGTCTAGACAAGAGATGCCATTTCTTTTCCGACATCCAGGTAAAGGTTCCTGTCCTTTATCCAATGAGCTTTAGATAAAATTAATTTTGCAGTCAGTTTACTCAAACTAATTCAAATCCTTGAACACTCCTTGAGTGACATCCCTGCTTCACTTTTTTGAAGGATGTCGGCCTTGATTATAAATAATCTTAAGCCACGAAGTTTATAAGTCAAAGCTGTTTAGATATCAGAAACATTCAGCAACAAGATTCTTTTAGGATGTGATGTGCATAACAAAGCTTTTAAACTTGCCTGTTGTCTTTAGGGGCATGTACTTGTTGAATCATGAAGCAATATCAAAGCATGTTATTTTTACCAAAGGGTTCAGAGAAAGATTTCAGTGTTTTGTAATAAACAAGAGGAGAACGTTCAGAGAGCATACTTGGAAATGCCTTGAACGAAATGCTTCTGCTTCTTGTTCATTCGACGATATTGTGTTAAAACTAAGGAGACCCCTCATCTGGAACTACATGATAGGCAGATATATTTTAAAACATTTAACATGGAGGAATGAATATACCTCTTAAATAAGGTAACAAATGTAGGTAACCCTCTAAACTATATTTATCTAACTACAAGGGTAAAAAAAATAGATTTAGAAAAGTTTAAAGAAAAATATTTGATGTTTAACTGGGAGAAAGGTATTTATTCTAAGGAAAGTTTGGGAATGAAGATAGAAAAACTGGTTTGTAGGACTTGCTTCAATCTTTGCTGAATCTTACTGTAAAAAAAAACTTTTACACAACTAATAACCCCTTGATTTGTTATGGTGTTTGTAGTGCTAATGATAGGACACAAAACTTCAACAAACAAAACATTAAAGCTGATTTTCTTCCGAAAAATTTTGATTGCTTCACAGATTCTAAAGCACAACTTACCTTACTTAACTGAACAGGTTTTATTAGTACTGTCAAAAGCCTAGTCTATATTAGATTACCTCCATGGTCTGAGTGAAATTTGGTAGAAAATAGAGTGAATTAAACTGGAATCAAACAGCAAACTTGATTACTTATTTTTCAGGAGGACCAGCTCTACATATCACACAAAAAAAGTTCCCATAATTCCTTTATTCCTCCAAAATGTAAGTTTTTCCGAGATTAAAACCTTTGTTTGTGAAAAATCAACAAAAAGGCATGGTTCCTAAGCAAATGTAAAAAAAACTGCAGATGAGTTCAACATGCTTTAATCTGTTTATTTTCCAAATGATTTATACCAACACATTCAAAACAAAAGATCCTATATGCATTCAACAGCAGTCATTGCATAAAAATACCTAAGTGATCACAATGTTTAAGTCTTTATGGAGAATGCTTTAACCTCTTGTGTTTGTTGTAATATATACAGAAAAGAAAATAAGAATCTCAACACCCTGCTATTTTGAAAGTTCTCCCACTTAATAATTGTTGAGGCGTCTGAAATTATCATCGTAGCTGCATGTCCACTGTCAGAGACATAATCTAAAAAAATAATCCTGAAATCACTATGTATGATTTTTATTAACTATTTATTTGTATGATACAGCTGCAAATAAGTATTTAAACACCTGAGAAAATCAATGTTTATATTTGGTACAGTAGCCTTTGTTTAAATTACAGAGGTCAACCACTTCCAGTAGTTTTTCACCAGGTTTGCACACACTGCAGGAGGGATTTTGGCCCACTCCTCCACACAGATCTTCTCTAGACCATCAGGTTTCTTGGCTGTCACTGAGAAACACAGAGTTTGAGCTCCCTCATAAGATTCTCTATTGGGTTTAGGCCTGGAGACTGGATAGGCCACACTAGAACCTCGATACAGACTCTTACAGAGACACTCCTTGGTTATCCTTGCTGTGTGCTTCGGGTCATTGTCATGTTGGAAGACCCAGCCTCGACTCATCTTCAGTGCTCTAACTGAGGGAAGGAGGTTGTTCCCAGGTACATGGCCCCGGCCATCCTCTCCTTAATACAGTGCAGTCGCCCTGTCCCCTGTGCAGAAAAACAACCCCAAAGCATGATGCTACCACCCCCATGCTTCACAGTAGGGATGGTGTTCTTGGGATGGTACTCATCATTCTTCTTCCTCCAAACACGGTTAGTGGAATTACGACCAAAAAGTTCTATTTTGGTCTCATCTGACCGCATGACTTTCTCCCATGACTCCTCTGGATCATCCGAATGGTCATTGGAAAACTTTAGATGGGCCCTAACATGTGCTGGTTTAAGCAGGGGAACCTTCTGTACCATGCATGATTTCAAACTATGACGTCTTAGTATATTACCAATAGTAACTTTGGAAACGGTGGTCCCAGCTCTCCTCAGACCAGCTCCTCCCTTGTAGTTCAGGGCTGTTTCTAACCTTTCTTAGGATCATTGAGACCCCACGAGGTGAGATCTTGCATGGAGCCCCAGTCCGGGGGAGATTTTCAGTCATGTTTAGCTTCTAATGATTACTCCAACAGTAGATTATTTTTCACCAAGCTGCTTGGCAATTCCCCAGTAGCTCTTTCCAGCCTTGTGAAGGTGTACACTTTAGTCTCTAGTGTCTATGGACAGCTCTTTGGTCTTGGCCATGTTAGTAGTTGGAATCTTACTGATTGTATGGGGTGGACATACGGCTTCCAACAGATGCATCTTGACATTTTGAAGACACAATAACAGGTCTATGAGGGTCAGAATTCTACGTGATAGACAGGTGTTCAAATACTTATTTGCAGCTGCATCATACAAATAAATAGTTTAAAAAATAATACATTGTCATTTCTGGATTTTTTTTTTAGATTATGTCTTGCACAGCAGAAATGCTGCTATCTTGACAATTTCAGACCCCTTCATGATTTCCAAGTGGGAGAACTTGCAAAATAGCAGGGTGTTCAAATACTTATATTCCTCACTGTATATATGAAATAAAAACTCTACTATTCATTTTCTTTAAAAGTGTCAACATTCATTTGTGTGTGGTACTTTATTGCTTTTTAATTAAAACCTTCAGTCAAAGGCCAAAAAGAGAGTGGAAAAGCGATATTGGCACTTTTTTCTTATAGTATGAAAATAATAGTAAATATTATTGAGTAGAAAATGGGAAGTGTAAGACTATACAGACAATAAAAGTAGTTGATTTGGATGATAAGGGGCTTTAACTGCAAGGAATCGGTTGAAAGAAGAAGGAGAAGAAGCATCCTATCCTATCATATATAAGAATCTATGTTGTTCCATCAAGCCTGAAATAACTGAAATTGACAACAGGTGACCGAAATACCCCAGTATGACTCCACATGGGTTAGAGAGAAAACTTTTTTGGGACTCAAAACCTTGAACATTTGTCGGACAGTAATGCAATCAAACAGATAAAGCAACACTTACTCTAGGAAGCGGGTGATATACTGACGGCTGCAGCGGGACCAGCGAGGCAGGAAGGTGCCATACAGGAGCTGTGGAGACATGACGAAAGGTCGTTTCCCAATGGGTTCACAGTCATTACCGTTGCCATCGTGCTGAATCCCAAAGCTGTGACATAAAAGCAAATACCACAAAAAGGGCCAATTAATGTGAGTCGGCATTGCATGTAATACAATTATCAGAATCAGAAACAACTTTAATGCTCAGAGTTGTGAGCACAGACCAAACGTAGCAGTTCAAATTATAAACACACGAAGCAAAGTATGGCAACAAAAGAGAAATGTCTGTCAGGAAAATCTTTTTTTTCTGATTTAAAGGTCAATATTTAACTTTCATCTCATTTGCTGTAGAGGCAGTAGCCCTGACTCAGACAGCTTGCAATAAATAAAGTCTGGGCAAACTAGGGGTAGACACAAACCTATTTGTTATTTACTTTGTAGGAGTTCACCTGTATCTTATGGCTTCCAGAAGAAAGCTGCCATCACATTACATGTGTGGATGTTTTATGTCCTTCACTGAATAGAAGCCCACTAACTTCCTACCTATCTCAATTTTTTTTTAAGATGCTCCTCATAAAAATGTGTAAATTGTATGTGTAACAGACAACTTTTTGAAGCATAGTGCACGTGTAAAATAACGATTAAAAATTCAACCTTCAAGGGGTTTGAAACTCTTTGAAGTATATTGCTAAACGGGGAAAGCGAATTAATTTTGTTTGCTTTTCTGTTTCACAAAAATGAAAAAAGCAGTTACCACTTAAGGTTGCAAAGTAATATTTCTTTTATAACAGAGCATGCTTTAAAACTGACAATAGTCACAGTTTACTACTTAGCCTGAGCGAAATAGCTGCTGAAAGAGAACATTCTATATAAAGAAGTGTTTGTGTGTTGAATGGAAAACTTAATATTTTTTAAAATTTAACCAGAACTAAAGAGCTGAAATTGAGCTGAACAAAACTTCAGCCCTTTCCTAAAATGCTGGTGAAGATTCTCAGTCATCCAGGTCATAGGCTACATTCTCACTGCAGCCTTAATGCTCAATTCAGATTTTTATTTTTTTGTGAAACCAGAATGCACATGCACAGTGGAGGACGCAGTTATGTCACAACAAGCGTGCTCTGTGTACGGAAGTAAACATGGATGGTAGAGCTGGAGCAAATCTAGCAATCTTTCCCAACCTTAAAACCTCAATCTTTTCAAGATGATTAAGAAAAAAAGATTGCTCTCCGCATTATCCTCCACCATGGTTGTTGTTTTTTGTCCCACTTCTTTGTAGCAAGATGCAGAATAGTGACCTTTGTTGATTATTAATGACGTTAAGATCGACCTGGCTGTTCAGGTGGCATTTTAAAAGATCAGATTCGTATCGGATTCAGGACCACATAGCAGAGTGGCCTGGGTAGCATAAGAAAAAAATCGGATCTGTGTTGTTCAGACTGCCATGAACAGATCAGATCCAGGTTGTATCTGGGCAAAAAAAAAATCGGATTTGGGTCATATCAGGCTGCTATGTGAACACAGCCAAAGTCATTCCAATGAAGTTAAAAAAAAAAAAAACAACAAAAAAAACAATGGACTTAGTTTCCAAATTTGAAGACATTTTGCTTCCCATCCAGGGAGATTTCTCAAGTCAAAATATCTGGGGAAGGGTATGAAGGAAGCCATTTATGTTAAGAGAGAAAAGCCAACCTTAAACATATTGGGTGGTCTCAGGTTCCAGCTCTCAAAAACCTACGCAGCAATAGAGTTGATTCCTTCCCACGATCATTTCAACCACCATCGCTATGCAAGGGACCAAACATCTCGCCTGATCAGCCAGGCTAACAATGACCCTAATGACTCTGGTTTCAGAGGCATAGGCCAGTATTGGGTCTTGAAGTCCAACAACGACCTCAACGACTCCCCATTACTACAGTAAGGGGTGGATCTGTTCTTCTGGTTTAATTTGCATGTTTTCTAAGCCATAACAAGGCTTTTGTTTGTACCACTTTATAAGCCGTGAAACCCTACTCCAGACATTTTGAATTGAGAAAGCTTCCTGAATGGGAAGCAAAACCTCCTCAAACTTTGAAAACAAGTCCAATGTTTTTTTTTTTTGTTTTTTTTTTTGTACTTTTTAAACCTTTCCTAAAATGTATTTTCAGCATTTTCCCTACTGTGCTCCTTAATTTACATTCAATAAGTAGGAGTTTGTAGCAGCTTTTATTTTACCTTGAAAGCCAAAACCTTTCTAGGTGTCACACAGTTCACCGAGTCAAAGGTTAATGTTTGGTTATGTTTTTTTTTTTATCCCATGAAATACCAGACAGCCTCATAAATTGAAGGGTGGGCTATGGAGTCTTATTTTAGCAAGGCTGAAAGACATGTTGATTTTTATTTTTATTAAAATGCCAAAAGGTTTGCTCACATAAATAAATAATGCCACACTGTATCTTTGCTTTTTATTTAAACAAAAATGTTAACATCAGAGTACTGTTTATATAGATACATTGATACCATAACTTTCCAGGAAATACACTTAATTTTTTAAAGCAAATTTTGAGTTGTAATCTCACAAACACTTTTTTCTTTTGCCAATTTATCAGTTTAGTTAATTTAGTTAAGCAAGTAGCGTTATAAGATGCTGAAATATGCAAAAAGATTAACTTTATTAAATATTATAGCACAGCAGCTCTGCAAGCTTTCCCCAATTTCTGCCTTTATAAAAACCACATTTGTAGTAGAACCTATTGCTTCAAACATGACTTCAACATATCTCAAATACCAGTTCTTTTCAATCTGAATTCATTTTTGAAGTCAGAAAATATGCTGTCTATCTTTATACGACTCATAATTCTAACAAATAATAAATTAATTAAATAGGAAGAAATACAAAATAAATGTAAATAGGACTGGACTCAGTTGGATTTTTTCTGTAGAAATATAATATAATAAGATTATGCAAGACGCAAACAGATTTTAACAGACAGACAGTAAACAGAGTGTAAAATATTATGATATGAAGCATTGTCATAACAACAATGGCAGGAACATAACTACACCTTCCAAATCTGTTGATCTAATGGGATAGATGAGTAACGGGACTAACAGTAACAAACTAAATAAATAACAATCCGAAAACTGTTTTATGGTGTCACAAAGATTAGCAGCAAGTTAGTTGCAAATAAATAGAAACAAATACCATTGTGCCGATAAGTACAGAACTACTAAAACAGCTTATATCACAGCTGCACACTTAAAGGTTTATTATGTTATAATACACTTATTTTTTTCTCAGTGCATCTTTTGGAGGATGCCCTGTATTTTCATCAAAACTACTAACTGACAATGTTAGGATTGGAAAATTAAATAACCTTACTTTTTATGGTTTAAAGAGGTTTTAATGAGCTCCTTGAACCTACTGTAAGTAGATATTCCTGACTGTACGATGCATGAATGCATTGCTGCACCGCCAGCAACTGATGCTAACAGCCACATGTTAGCGGGATGAAAAACTACTATGAAATTCTTATCTTGCTCTTATGATAAAAATTTGTCTACTTGAGCAGATAGCATTAAAATATATAATCTAATATGAGACTGTCAGACCCCTGGTGTTAATGAAAACTGCTATCATATTTAACATTCTTTACAATTTCGCTTAAGTCTGTCTATGAAAATACAAATAAATGAATAATATGGGTGGCAACTTTATAATTGTATTTACTAGTTTGCTGATTTTTTTTCAAAGGATAAATTTTTGCTTTCATAATCAATTACATTGAAATTTAATCAAAAATGATGTGATGTGAAACAAATGTACTATTACTAAACTTTATCTTTTATTAGTTTAACCAGTGTGAAGGTTCCTCCAGTCCATTTGTTTGGAGTTAGTATTTTTTTTTTTATATACTATCACACAAGTCCTTTTAAATATAGTTTAACCTTTTAATGATGTTGTTTTAAACACATTTGGTAAAAGTATATGGGTATGAGTATAGTTGTTTACAATGTGAATTTTTTTATTTTCCTTTTCTTTTAATTTAATTTTTTATTGTTTATTTTTTAGTTGCTGAGATGTAAAGAACAGGCTGTGGGAGAAGACTTTTTATGATGAAGCACCAGGAAATGGAGGAATCCAACAGGGATGTAGGAGAGCCTTATTGTGGAACAACTACACAATAAGGCTCTAAATCAAAGATTTTGATGAATACATAAGTTTTTACTGATGAGTTGGTTTTTTTTATAAGTAAGCTGTTGGCTCAAGTTATTTATCGCAGTAGGCTAGTCTTTTTTGTGTATAAATTCTGTTGTGTGTTCATTATGAGCAGGTCAGTTTTTGTCTGAAAACCTTAGTTAATTTTGGTTTGGTTAAACTCATTTTCTTTAGTTAAAAAAGTAAAGAAACAATCAAACAAAAAACATTTTTGTTTAAGCTTTTAGAAAAAATAAACAATTAGGATGTATATATATATATGTATTTTTATTCCTTTGTCCATGTGCTTAACTGCTTAGTCCATGAAAACCAGGGAGTGTCCTAAATATGAATTGTGTGTTAAATCACAACACCTAATTCCATTCTAATCAAACCACTTTTTAGCTAGATAATATAAGTATTACTTTTTCTAAAGAAGTCGTAAACAACTACCCTATTAGCCTTTGCACCATTAGGCATTCAAGCAAATTCAACATTTAAAGACAATTTCTGTTCATAAAGATTTGTCTACACTATTTTATTCATGAGAATGCTTCTTGTACTATCACCATTTCAAACTCTTAACTGCAGCCTCAGACTGTGACCCCAGTAAAGGATCAATGAAAACATTTTCTCCTTTTAGAAAGGTGAGGTATTCACAAAGGGCTCCCACCAGTCCAAGACCTGTCAACAAATGTTGCAAATATCTTTAAATTACAGGACTAACTATGCAGACATAGAACAGAAAAGGCTGCTTTTTTTATGAAAAATCAAAGGTCCAGCACTGAAGGTGACTTTGAGTTAAGTTTATAGAGGCAACAGGATTTCTAGAGATAATCAAGTGGAACCAGTTAAGTTTTCTACCCATCTCATGATAAGTATAATAGAATAGAATTCAACTAGCCTAGTAAACTAGCCCCATCTGCCAGCGGCCCAAATTATTTATGCCTGTGAGTGGTCTAGCCTTGATCAACTGGCAGGCCAATCACAATGCAGAGATGTCTTTTGAATTTTATTGATGCAAAGCAGGCGGGGGTTTGTGGCTTGACGACAAAGCTGTGCGGCGCTGGAGAAAGCACAAGGAAGATGGCAACAACTATCAAACAGTTCTCATTTGACTCAGCTTTAGAATCAGTTTTGAAGGGATTAGACTTGGGGTTTTCGTTGAAACATGATCAGGAAGAGGCTCTACGCTCATTCATTTTTAAGAAGGATGTTTTACCGACAGGCTGTTTGTTTACACTCCCCTACCAGCTTTATGTTGCGCTTACTACGTCACAGTCAGTTGTGCTCATTGGTCAGAGAGTTGGCCAATAGCCACAGACATGGTTTGAAAAACAACGGGTTGTTGTTATCAACAATCTTCTGATGTCACATTCATCGGGGCTAGACTAAATTACACATTTAATCTCACATTTAGTCTGGTTTATTAGGATAGAATTCAACTTTATTGTCATTACAATACATTACATCTATCCAGAAGTGTTATATTTATTTACATGTGCACAGAGACTATGCATGTAAAAATGGTATAAATATACGGAGAGTAATTGTAAGAAGCTATAAAATAAATAAATATGAACTATATACAGATTATACAGGAATGTTAGTATATTAATTATATTTATATATGGGTGGGGGTTATAATACTGGATAAATAATGACACATAACAGCAGATAAAAGATTTGCAGACTACATTTGTTATTAAGTTATTTTACTATTGTGAAAATCAGTAAGGACTGACTTGAAAAGTTCAGTGGGTATGATATTTCATTAATATTCCAAATACTGAATTACACTGAATAAAAAGCAATAAATTAAGCAGACAGTTGGGTCCTTGATAATCTTTACGTTGCTTAGTACATGTAGTCTAGTTTTTGTTTTTCCCTTTATGTATACATGCATGCATTTTCTATGTATACATTAATGCATAGAAAATGCTATTCTATCAATCCCAATTTTCCTAATGCATTCTCCAGATGCAGTGACACACCTGCAGAACAAGAAAGTTTAAGAAAATGCATACATGCATGAATGCATACATAATAAAATCTGTCATATATAACTATGAATAATGCTGTTGTACTATCAGTTCTTTTTCTCCTTGAGACATGTTTTTTAAGGCTAAATCTTCTTTTAGTTGCCAAAGGAATAGAAATAAAAAAGAAAACAGGAGGAAAACTCCAATCTACTTTAATGTCAAATAAAGTCTAATAAAGCAACAAGAGGAAGGAACAAACAATCAATAAAAATAAGTGTAATACATTTGGTTGAAAAAAGCAAGCTCACAACAAAGGAATGAGCTCAGTTTAAGAGGAAATTGGGTGTCACAGCAAGGTTAATTGGAAATGTAAAAACAATCCTATTATCCTAATCATGGCGGATGTGGACAAAGCAAGACGGCAATTTCCTAAGCATCCACACTTAGCAATAGAGTTTTTCCCCATTAATGAAGGCAGGGTTAATTTTCCAAGGTGCTGAATTTCTGTTTTGATCTGAAATAAATGTAAATGCCAGAAGAGTAGTAAAAACAGCAGATCAAAGTGATTCCAATACTTTGGCCCAATGAGCTGTCTAGATCACCTCATATGGCGACCATGACTTGTTTGGTGGGAAATAAAATGATAGTAACAGGAATGATTTAGCACATACTAAAAATGAAACAAAGCCTTACTTGTGCCCCAGCTCGTGTGCCACTGTGAAGGCCATGGGGAGGCCCGTGTCTTCACTAATGCTGCAGCTGCGATGAGGTTGGCACATTCCCGCCACATGAGACAGTCCCAGAGTCTCACATGGCATGTTGAAAGCTGCACATATGTCCTTCCTTTGAGAAGCAGAGCAGTGTTAGTGAAATTCCTCCTCATCCATCAAATGAGATTATCTATTAATCTAGAGACAACATGCTAAGGGACATTTTTTTTGTAATTTAGGTTTTAGATAATTACAACATAATTTAAAATCAGAAAAAATAATTATACAGTGGCTGCATTTTTTTGTGTGTGTTTGCAAGTGCAATGTCTCAGTCTGTGAAGGGTGCCGCATGGAAATATTTAGTGGATTAAACAATTGAAACATGGCAGGGGGCCATGATGAATATCTGGATGATGGGATCTCCTGAAAAAAAAAACTGCATTAATGGTATCCTCTTAAGAAGCAGATGAAAGAAGCACATCAAAAGCAAAGGAGTGAGAGAGGCAACATGGCAAACTGGCAAGATATATATATATATATATATATATTTTTTTTTTTTCAAACTTCTGATCTTTCTACAAACCCCAAAACTTTTTAAATTCAAGAATCTGCCACCTCCGAGTTAAAAGCAAGCAATTGTCATGCTTTATACCTAGATGCCAATTTTGACATTTTGTTTCCCTCTTACACATTAGGCAACCTCTCCTTCTAAATGTCTGCTCTCTAAAATGAATTATTTTGTCATCAATTCTAACATCATGTCAAATGGTTTCCAATGTTATGAAATAAGGAGCAAGAACATTTACACAAGTGTGTAATCAGTCTTGCTGCATTTGGAAATTTTCAGCATCTGTGGGAGGTAGAGCTACACTGGCTTGAAATAGTCTGGCTCACGTCCATGCAGCCTGGGCAATGGAACCCAGCTTCCTTAAAGAGGCTCGACTAGATATTCAACTAGCTGACATCAATCCCCGTTCAAGCTCAGATCTCTTGGCAAGGCCTGCTTCATCCTTGGGAATCAGAACCAGCCCTGGTCACTTCCTGCTTCTACCTGTTTACCACACAGCAGGCAATTGCCATCAATTTAATCTTGAAACAAAGTTATACACCAATGTTGGCTTTCCATTAGCTTATGGTGTAAAAATGAAAGTTGGATTAACAATAAATCCTTAATTGAACATTAGCACTCAATGTTGAAGAGACATTGAGTATTGGTTACAAGCCAACACTACTTCAAACCAACTAAATGAAAACATCAGATTGATGTTAAACACTTTATGTTTAATCGATGATCAATGTTGGCTTTTACTTGTCCAACATTGAAACCCATATCCAACCAAGAAGCTATGTTAAAATAGTTTGTCTGCTGGGTAGGTATGTACTGCTAAAATGTGGGAGTAACAGACTTAAATATTAATTTGTCCCTGGAGCTATTTCTCTCCTGAACAAGTGATTAACCTATTTTAGTATAGTTGTTTGCACACTACTGCAGGCTGTAAAACAAATGGCCCTATGGGGACAATAAGGTTTCCTTGAACTCTTTGCTCTAGGGTGGCATGCGGGGAGAGGCAGGGGGTGGGGCTGGTCTGATTTTCACCCACAGCTCAGCAGTCTCTTGTTGGACTCACTGCAGTGGATGAGAGGGCTCTAACATTCATCTAGACTTAGGGGCAGAGTGGCTGTACAAAGTACCAGGCCTTCCTAGAATCCCTGCATGGAGTGCAGGGATTCCTTTCTGGGATTTCATCATTTTCATTGGGGACTTTAATGGCCATGTGGGAAACGAAGGCGACACTCAGGGAGGCATAATCAGGAGGAACTGGCCCCCAGTTCTGAATCCCAGTGGTGTTTCATTATTGGACTGGTGGAAGCAAAGAATGGATGGATATGAACTTGTTCACCAGCCAGGCCAAAGTCAGAGATCTGTTTAAAAATATCCACGGCGACAAAGCCAGATTAGGGTATGATCAGGCATATTTGATGTACAAGTCAATTTATTAATATACATTGTCTATTTTTAACAAATAAACTCAACCTGAGTGCTTTGGTTTAAGAATAGGACTATAACTACACCTTTGCATCTCGCTAAATCCTCTATAAATTCTGTCAACTGCATGGTTTTTAGTACCACCATTGATGAATTTGCAAGGCTTAACTAGAAACTGAAGGTGTCCTTTCAGATGAGCATACGCGGTCAGACCGGCATAACCAGAGTCAATACCCATTTATCCCTTTAGTTTATCCCTTTAGTTCATCCCTTTAGTGATCTTAAAAAAACAATTTAATTACTTATTTTTGGTGTTTTTTTAAGCATATGGCGATCTCACGTTAAATTTATTATTTTTTTTTTTACATTGCTTAAGGAATACACGCCCATTGAGGCAGTATAAAGTCTATTTTTCGTACAAAACTAAAGGGATAAACACAAATCTGACATCTTGTGCATTCGTCATGACTATGGGTATGCTGGTCTGATGGGGTACGCTCATCTGACAGAACACCGGAATATGAGTACACTGAAGGCAGTCTGGCACCAGCATGGGTTGAAACGATTCTAGAGGACAATCTATAGTCACATTCTATGGACAGATGAGACCAGGGATGAACAACATTGACAAGAAGAAAGTTTTTAAAAGTCAAATTTAGGCCAAACCAAAAAACACTAACTGGTATCTTATATAGTGGTGGTAATATTACGCCTTGAGTTGGTTTCTTTGCATGTGGACTTGCTGCTTTATAGAAAGTTCAATCAAACCCAGAATTCTGAAACAACTCATAATTACCAGCAAAATAGTGGCCAAGAGTTTGCCAAAAAGATGATTCCAAACATGTGTTGAAAAAAAAACAAAGAATAAAATAACTACAGTATATGGAAAGAAGCTTCAAAGCAATTGAATATGAATGGGCTATGTGTACATATGGTAAAATTCTTAAAACTGAACAATATAGAGCAGTCCTAATATTTCTGAAAAAGGAGCTGTCAAACATCCACAAATATGAAATTTCTGGTCACTTGAACTGTATGAAATATTTTGGCAGCGTTTCAAACATAATCAATTTTAAATGAAAGTCTTCATCTTTAAAGACCTCCCATCAAGAAGAGGCCAAACCAAACATGGGATTTTTTTTATTTTACAATTTCTTCCTTTATTATAGAATCTATACGTTTCAAAAGAAACTCTAACACTTCATTATATTTTCTAACTTGAAAGTCTGACTTTGTACTCTTGTACATTCTGCAGTAGTCAATACAGAACTTAATTACTGGGGATATCTCAGTAGCACCATGTTAGGCAATCATACAGCAGAGATTGGCTGTTCTATGAACAATTAATGAGCCTTCTGATTCTTTAAGTCTGGCTGATATTTGTTTTTTCTTCCCTTTAGTTTAGGCAGAAAAAAATAAAAAGAAATGTGAAAAACCTTATTTTCTCCACCATAATGTGGTTCCAGTTTACATGTAAGTTTTGGAGTTATTGGAGCATATTTCAATGTTAAAAAGCCAGAGACAGCAGCAAACTAATACAAAAAAATATTCAAATTTTTGTCCCTGTTTTTTTAAAGAAACATGCATGACAAACTTTTATCACACACAATTACAGCACCAAATTGCTTTGAGAGTAAAATTATTTCAAAGGTCCCTTTTTATAGGTGACATTTAGAAAAGCATGCAATGTACCATGTTTTGTTATCCAATTCTATCTCCCTCAATTGACTGATTTTGAGAATGTGATAAACATCTAATATGGCAATCATGTAGGCCTACTCTAAAAGAAGAGAGAAGGCAATTTGTTTTGTTCCTTATTTTCATGCAAACTCAGGATTCCATTATGTTTTTTTTCCCTCTAAAGTTGCAAAGAACTAAGGAACCGTGATTAATAATAACAAAAATGCGTCGTGTCTGCTATGAAAATGAACCATTGAAAATAAAATAACAAGGATATCAAATCTATGTTTCATTTGCTTGGGTCAAGTGTAGAACAAGTTTACATTTACCATTTCAAACATAATTTTTTTTTTTAACTAGGACATCATTTTAGGTTCAGACTCCCAAAATAATAATACTTTACGGATCATAAATAATTAATAACAAAAACATCCGTCTGGTATAAGAAGCATGTCAAACTCTCTGATGACCTATATATGAAAACATAGACCTGATTTTATCCAGAAACAAGCAGAATAATGTCTCCGACGACCCTAACACAAACAGAAGCAAAAAAGATTGATATTTTTGTTTACACACAGCTTTTATGAGTATTTAATTACCTGATAAAAGATTTTTAAAAGATTAATGTGTTCGAACAACTTCTAGATATGAAGAATACATATCATTATGTTAAAACTCTGAACTTTCGTTTTCTATTAATTTGTTTTTTTCTGTAATGACACCCATAGAATAACAAGTATATCAAATCTATGTTTCATTTGCTTTACCCACAGAAAAGTGTTTATGTGAGAAAGAATTAAAGACAATATGGCACTAGAAGAAAATCTATGACAGACTAGAGAGGAGATGAGACTATGGCAGATGATCACCTTCCAGTAGGATAACAAAGCTAAACAATCAGTCAACTATACAAATCAATAAATCTAATATATTTATGCATATTTATGCATTATTTAAAGACTTTCTCCATCTAACCTGGCTGAGCTTCATCTGTTTGGCAAAGAAAAAGGACCCTCTAGGTACCTCTAATCCAGCAGTGTTGGTGGTATCGGTGCCTAAAGATCTGCTGCTGTATTTACCTGAAAAAAGATCTCTCCGAAAAGAGATCTTTTTTGAACACATATGCCCACTCTTTTTTATGTTGTTTTCAAAAGGGGACATTTGTTTTTCTTCCCTATATTTCAAAATTGTTTACTGATTTATCAGCATCTATCACACAAAATACTCGCCAAAAAATTTGGTTTGAGGTTTCAATTTCACTTATTATAAAGCTTCAAGAGAAATAAATACTTGTGTAAGGCACAGTAAGTCACAAAAACGAGTCCCAAGCTAGTTTATTATCTAGAATAGAACAGAAAATATGAATTTACGACAGGGGAGAATGAAAAGCAAGAAGGACCATGTACAGATAGACACTGCATTTTAAAATATAAAAACAATATATAAAGAAATAAGAATGACAGCTAGTGGTAATGGTAAATTTATAGCAGAAGAAAAAAAACTTTTCTAAATGAACTACTATTTATAAACTGCTCAGTCACGTAACAAGACATCCCTTTGCTGCAAAGTCTTTGTAGCCACCTTCACGGTGTGGTTCTGTTACGGTTTCAGTTTTTCCGGTTGGGAACTTATTTACCTGGTGAGTAGAACAGCCACATCATGGTGCAGCGGGTGCTCGTCTCCTTTCATGTTGAGTTTCTTCTGCCATTTACAGAAGCTGCTCAGGCTGTTGTCAGCATGGTGTGTAATCTTTAGGTCATCCTGGCAGACGTGTTTCCCAAATAAATACACAAGAAACAGAACAAAGGGTAAATGTATGAAATAGGAGGTGATACGAAAGCAGCAAAAATACAGTGAAAGGGTTCCAAAAACCATTTGGATTCAGCAAGATTATAACTTCAGTTCTATTGTTAATTTGAAATGCATTTTAATTATGCATCATGGCAAAGGTCAGTGGAGAAACTGTTTTCACTTATGTTAAACTGTTAAATGTTGCAAACAGTGTAAAAAGAATAAATGACTGAACCTAAATAGACCCAGTGTGAATCATTAGGAACACGGTTTTATTGCACATGCTTACCCTACAGAAAAGTCCAAAATGATGCTCACGGTAAATTAAGCCATACTAAGCAGCAGAACATTTTATCTGCAATGAAAAATGTTTATCCAAGTCCTTTTAATTTAGACTTTAATCTCAAATGTGTGAGGCGCAGAAAGTCTCTAATTACCATATCTTAGAAAAGTGCTGTGCAGATGCTAGTTGTGCATAAATATTTCATTAAACCACTTTATTTTCAGAGCATTGGGCACAATGCAAATAAGGAGCATAAACAGGTTTATTTCTCCCCTCAAATAAATGGCTGTGATGTGCTGGGTTCTTTTTAAACTTCCACAAAAACACAGGAAAGAAAAGGCGAAGGAAAAATTAGACTAGATGTGATAAACACAACTCCCAGATGAGGACATTTATTCTCAGCTGCAAAAATAAAAAATAAAAATTGATGTGCTGGAGGCAAAACAATTCTGCATCCAGAAATACTAGATTCAAGAATTTTTTTATTTTATACTTTAGTTAATAAGGCTGATTGAGTCAAAATGGAAAGGTTCATATGCAGGTGCACCTCATTTGATTAAGATGAATCAAAATAAGGCAAAAGGTAGCTTAAGGGTGACATTAACAAATATTTTAATTCTTTGAGAAGCAGAATTCTGTGCTTTTATTTATCATAATGAAAAATCGTCACAATTAACAGAATTGAACACTTTAAGTATTTCACTGTGTTTGCATTTAATCTACATAACAGGTGAGTTTCAGGTCTAAACAAAAAAAAACCAAATCAAATTTAAATACATTAATTTTTAATTAGGGGTTAATAATTCCACTAAATACACACATCCAATGATACAATCTCTGCAAAAAATAAAATAAAATGATAACACAAACAAACCAAAGAAGAAATAAAAAAAAAAACAACATTATGATGATTCTCCACAATTTTGGTGAACATATTTAGCTTTTCAACCAAACTTTTGATTGTGATTTTATTTAGAATTTCCTAGGCACTAAAGATTTGCATGTGGATGTTTCACTCCAGGGTTTCATTGTTTACATAATCTTTAAACTTGCTTGTTGGTCGAAAAAACACTGACTTCTACTTGCATGCATCAATGTGTGCACCATAGACATAAAATAGAAATCGCATTGGGTGCTGGGGCGCATAACATATTGCCGCCATCTTGGGGTGGACCTCCAACTTGGCTAAAAACCAAAACAGCAGAAGATGCCTCAGCACCGTGCTGGATGCTTTTGTTCAGATTGACTATTCATATCAGGTATTGAGAACTAGATAACATTAAATGCAGCAAAAAGAAGAACATTTTTTTTTTTAAATCACCAAAACATTCCTATTTTAAAAGTTTTAGCTCATATATGAGGAACTTTGTATGTGTGTAAATATGGGTTTGTGCGAATGTGTCCTGACAGACACTAGATGATAAAAAATGTGTATGTATGTATAGCTTCAATGTTGATTAATTATTTTATAATATATTCTTACAGTATGTACAATATATCTGTAGGATTTAATGTATGCATATATAGATATAAATATGTATAAATAGATGATAACAAATTAATTAAATAAAATGAATAGTTTTTTTGCCAAAAACATATATAGCACATCAGAGTAATATACTTGCCATTGCCCTCATTAAGAATATTGTTGCTCTGAATCATAAATGTAGCACTGAGAGTTGGATTTAAAAGGTTTGCACAAAAAGTGTGAAGAGTTTAGTTTTCAGACAGTTTCTCTAGATTAAATGTGTTGATACTTTATTGACCCTGCCTATACTGAGTGGAGAGGGCAACTCTCTTTATGTATGTCTATGGTTCACCTGCTGCAACACTTGTTTCCCTTCTGTGGTGGAAAAGCTACTAAAGCCTACTACTGCCAGTGGAGGGGCTGGAATGAGAGAATAAATGTCTTATTCCTTTTAAACGCAATGTGAACATAAATAAAGTGCCTCTGTGATTTTGAAAATTGTGTTGTAAAACTGCGATCATACTGCAATTGCAAATAATTACCCAGCCCTACTGGGAGCACTTACAGTTTTACACAGGGACTAGTGAGTTTGGAAAGCCTTTCAGTGAATAAATGAACACAACAGTGTTTTTCACAATGGAGTATTTATATGCTTATATGTAGAGCTGATATAGATATTGTGGGGTAGTCATAAAATGGAGGCTTTCAATGACCTAACATAAAAAATTTGATTTTTAAAGTGTTGTGGAAAAAGTCAGTCTTGGTTTCTATTTTAGGTTTTTTAACAAGTAAAGAATGAGGGTAAAAATAAAGTAAATTTAACTTGACGATTCTAGAACATGACTTTCAGTAATTGCTTTTAATAAACTGACATTCTAATCAGTGTGGTGCAAAAAAAATGAACCTTTGTGCATTATATATCAACATTGCCTTATGAAGGTGCAACTCTGGCTTTCCTCATAATTGTTTTATCAGTTAATTTATGTATTATAATAACTGTGTGATGCTGCATTTCCTCTGTGCAGTGTGTCCCCTTCATCAAAAAATAAACAGAGAGGAAAAAGAGACTTTGACTTGACTTTGACCTACCTCATCCTGCTCCAGAAGGATGAGCCGAACAATCACAATGTTGATTGCATTCCCGATACTGGCATCTCTAAAGATACCCGCCACCTAAATAAAAAAAAAAAAAAAGAATTTATTTCAAGCATGACTCTTGCAAAAATATCCAGTCACCAAACCCTGTTTTATCCTGCAGAAGGTTGTATGCCTTTTCTATGAAAGTAAACCCTAAAGACGCACTGCCTTCGGCATGTAGAACAGAGCAGTGAAGGAGAATCACAAAGTTAAAAGACAGACAGGACTTCCCACTGGAATGCTCTGATTAGGGGGCACTGCATTATTGAGATAGTTCACTCAATATCAATTATTAGCTCTTCCGTGGCACACATGCTTTTACTATGAGAGGACTTTTATGACAGATCAGACACTATCAATAATATTTAAACTTTAAACTTCCAAGAAATATATTTCTTTGAGAAATGATATGTGATAACAGCAGAGATTTTACATAATTTAGGTTATTTATTTCTCAACACATTAATTAATGTTATGCATAATATTTTAGTCAGTTCATAATAGATGCTAAAGAAAGCCATGAAATCTGTGATCCTAAACAAAAGGATTCCTGACTTCAGAATGAGGTGATATGCACAGAAGTTTGTCATTTTCCACTTTAAAGCATTAGCTACAAAGTGCTGTCAAACAGAAAGTGCATCTCTCAGCCTTCAGCTTTGATTGTGGCATGTCTTGATTTGAGGATAGCATGCGATATTTCAGAAAGCAGTTTCAGAGGCTGCGGGAGGTAAATTGAGGCCATCCAGAGAAGAAAGGAGATGCATTTGGAATGCTGAGAAACTAGAGATAAAATAATAAGAGCATCAGCATCAACAACGAAAAAAATATGGCTGTAGAAAAACTGCTGATCGCTCTACACAAAACCACTCATTTCTGGAGAGGATGTTTGTCTTTGATATCTCAGGTGTTTTTTAAATGCAGATAAAGGAAACATCTTATTTAGTTTTCAGTGAATTCTAGTTTCGTACAGTAGTTTAAAGCAAGAAGCGTTTCAATGTTTCATAAACAACATCCAAAACTGCATCATTAAGAAATATAATATAATAAGTAAAGCAGTGATCTCTAACATTGGACCCCGGCCTGTTAGCAGTCCATGTATCATTTTGTACCATTCAAATATTGTCTGAAATTAAACAGCCAGTATAATACAGCTGGGATAGACAGATTTTCTTTCTTTAATACAGAGTAATTGTGCCATGTACAGTATATAAATACCCATATTATGGCTTTCAGATTTCGTAAATTTATACAATACACCAATTTAACTCAAGAAATGCTTTTCACAAACCCTTAATGTGTTTCCATATTGTGTCATACAGGTTTTATGGTTGCCTGAACGATGGAGCAAAGTGAATGGTTGCAAATACACAATGGTAAAGAACTGTGAGCCTATTTTTTCCTCCTTATGCCAAACCACCCCAGTGCATTTATTTCACCCCATTTTCATTAACACTGAAAGTCCAAACTTTATTATATCCATGGTTTAAAATTTTATTCAAAGGGTTATTTTAATAATCAATTTGACTTTAAGCCCTGTAAATAAAAGGAACATTCAGAATCCCTAACATGGCTTGAATGTTTTATTTGCAAAAGCCAATTATTGCTTTTCTAAAACTGAAAAATACCACACGAAGGGGAGTTAAAGATGAGAAATAAATGAAAAAAAGCTATAAATTTTGCATTTGTTAGAGATACGATGCCTGATTCTCAGACAACCTACGTCCTACAGTCCATCCTGTCTTATCAGATCCGTTTTCTGAGGGAAGGTTTCTACTGTCCTACAGTTGGACCTAGCTGCTGTTGTACAAACAAGGTGGATTTAATGAATAGTTTAAAGATTAGAGAGCATTTCTGTCAATTGTGACATACTTGCAAAGCATAACAAAAGTTGCTAATTTTAAAAGAAAAAATGCTGAACACGTTCCTTTTTAAGTTTACATTCCTTTTGTTTTTGTTACTTAGAGTGAATATCATTTCCCACAATGGAAAATAGCTTCTCAGGGTAGAAGTCAAACTCCACAGCCAGCAGTTTAGTTGCTGACTGTTTTTTTTTTGGTCTACAAAACCACTTTGATGTCCCATTTTAATATCAAAACCCTATATATTATTTCCTTTCTATTTCTGTACATTTTTTATCTTCAAAACCCTGGAGAATATCCACAAGGGCCTTATTTTCGTGAAACATCTTGCTACCAACAACATTTGTTACTTTTTCCATTAGCTTATAACAATATAAATACTGTATGTTTTCCCTGTTATGCGATATATTTCAACCAAATTGCTCAATTTCAAAGACCCCTGGTACTAACAGCTACAATTTCAGCTGAGGGATGCCAGCAATCCCTTTTAGCATAGCAGCAGTGTGCAACACTGGGGGTGGAAATAGATCACAGTCTATATGTTCTATATGTTAAACACAACAAAAGAAAATGCACATTTCAGTGAATGGAACAATCCTATAAAAACTGAGTGTTTAAAAAAAAACACTGATGATATACATTCTAGAGAAGGCAACAGATTAAAGCCCATGAGCAACAGCAGGATATTGATTTGGGGCAACCACTTATATAGGAAACTGACATTATATTGCTGAATTTGCACTTTGGACAACTTCGAAATTAATGAACAAGTTAATCAAAATGCTGCTCCAAGTGTTATTGTTATTTGCAGTTATTTTACTGGGAGTCAAACAAACATGTCAAATAAATGCTATCAGTAACAATGGATATGCTTTTAGTCCGTGCTTAATTTGTGTTCCCCTGTCATTGTGTCCATTGTGTGTGTAGTGATTGATAACAGAGCTGAAGCTATTTTAAACTCACTGAAATTATTCTTGTCCTAAAGCCATAAGCTAGTGGGCATGTTTCAGTTGCACAGAAAAGCAAATTGCACCTTAGGCCTGGAGGCTGTATAGTTTCCTTAGAACTGTGATTGCATTGTTTGCTAGCTGCTACTTTCATTTAAAAACATAAATCCAAAACATCCCTCATGGACAAAAATAATGAACCACTAGGTCAAAACGTCATACAAGTTTGAAATACTCATTTGGTCCACTGTGTGAACATAATGCAGCATCTCCAGAATATGTATGTACTTTGCTCCTAGCAACTCAAAGACAATGGCACAGATGGTGTTTGAAGATGATGACATTATTGTTTAGATACAAGTAAGAACCGACTTCCCTTGAGGCTTCTCTATATTGTTTTCACAAAACAGAACTGTTTGGAGTTTTAATGTTCAAAGCCTTCAAGACCTCAAACAAGAACTAGGAGGGGAAGTAGAGAATAATGCCTGCTTCCTCTGTGTAAAAATGTTAGTCAGTTAAACTGTCTCTGTTCCTTTCCTGAGATTCTGCCTACTGGTGTGACAGGGATGCTGTTATCAAAATATACCAATTACATCTAATCTTTTTTCTGTTTAAAACCTTAAAATAAATTAATACTTGGTATGATGTCATATACATTTTTCGTACTGATTAAAAGCAAAGCTAACACTTTACAATAACCATGAAAACCATCATTTAGAAATAGCAAGGAGATCATTTATTAATGATTAAAAGATTATTTATGAATATTTTGTTCATATAAAAACTGCATCTAAACCACTTATAAAAGGTAAATAGATGTATTAATTTATTATAGTATTAAGCCCATTGTTGTTAGGGTAAGGAAAAGTACAACATGACAACATAAGTTTAATTAAAATTAGGGGTTAGGCTCACGTCCTAAATCTACTGATATTACAGATTGGGATAAACTAACATGGCCGTGCAATATGATGTATTTACCTTTTATAACATGTTTAGATACAGTTTATAAATGTTATTTAGAATAGAAAAAAAAAATTGTTAATCATTAATAAATTGTGTTTTTACCCTTTTAAAATGATGGCTATTGTAAAGTGTTACCAAAGCAACTATATTTTGATTCCTGTAGTAAAAATCTAATTTCATGACAGAGCTATTTATATTACAATACTATTTCATATTATTAACTTTTATTTGGACAGGTAATTATTTTAAGACAGGTAGTGTCAATCTACTTTTACCTGCATACACTTAAAAAAAATAATGCAACAACTTTTGGCATTTACTTAATCATATTTAGTTACTTTAACACAATTGTTTTATGTCCCACCCTGCTAACATGAAACACCTGAACCACCTGGGACGCCCCTCGTTTAGCACCCACCAATCAGCTCAGGGGAGACGCACCTTCTCCGAAACCTTCTTGCAAGATCCCCTTCATTTAGCTCCTGGCGCAGCTTCTCTCTCCAGTGAATTTTCCCCCACCTCCACCCCATCTCCTCCCTCATTCTCAGTTCCACTCATCCTCTGGTTTATTTCATCACCAGTGTCCGGGCTCCAAAGGAAGACTACTATGATCCTTTTCTAGGTTACTTATCCAAGCGTAGGTTGATTCACAGCATCAAAATCTTTTGCCGGGGTCTGTGCACCAAATAACTTATTTCGTTAATGTCTCCATCTGCTTCTGTCTCCCTGAACCCCATTCGGCCTCGGCAGATGGCCGTTCACTCTGAGCCTGGTTCTAATGGAGGTTTCTTCATGTTAAAAGGAAGTTTTCCTCTCCACTGTCGCTACATGCATGCTCAGTGCAAGGGACTGCAGAGAGTCAATGAGTCCTTGCAATCAGCTGGTTTTCCTTAGATAGAAATATTTTGAAGAATATAATTGTGTTACCTGCATAAATAAATTAAATATTTTCTAATTGCAACTTTTCTCTGTGTGAGTCTCTCCACGTTGAATTACCTATTATATACACATGGATTATCTAGAACTGCTAACACCAGAATCCAAGGGGACCAAGGACCCAGACATGCCACCACCTTGCTGACATCTCAAAAAGGTCAGGGAGCTTATAGGTTCCATTGCTCCAACTGAGAAGACAATCCCACAAATATCCTGCTGAGACCACTGACTGTGAGGATGGGCTTAAGGTCACAGCATATACTCTCGGTGTAGGTCCTGGATATCACCAACAATGCAATATAGGGGTAACATTGTTCAATATTAGACT